GTCTTTAATTACCTCGTCACAGCCTACTTTTTCTTCAACAAGACTGCTGCTGCATTCAGGGCACGATGGACGGACGGCAATTAATGAAGGGCCAGTCAATATTTTGTTCTGTCCTTTTTTTTCTTCAGTGTGTGGCCCCAGGCATTATTTTCTGCATACCATCAAATCCCTGCTCTTAGAATTATTCATCTTCTCCTGGACTTTTCTCTCACGTGTATCAGTGCAGCAACTGTGAGCTCCCCACCCAGGAAGGAATTTCTCTTCCAACACTCCTATGAGCAGAGAGCCTGAGTTTTACCTACAGGAAAATGCGGTGCAGATCTGAGTTGCAGACTCCTCCACTGGCAAGGTCCAGGGGGGATTTTTCAGGGTACCCACACTGTGTCTGTTCAAAGCCCAGCTCCCCTAACCTCAGCCAGAGCTGTAAGCACTCAGTACTTCTGTAATTTGAAATCCAGTGTGTCCAGAAAATGAGAAACATAGAACTGGTGGCTCTCAGAGAAAAAATGTCAGTGGTTTAAAGAGGCAACAGCTCCTCTGCTGAGCCAGAGTGAAAGAACAGGGCAACGCTGATATGGGCAAAGGGGTGGACTTAAGGCAGTGCAAGGTGACTGGCATTAGCTAATTTTTCAGCAAAAATTCTGTTTTCCTACCTTAACCATTCTCTGTAACAGCTGTACTCTGCTTTCTCTTAATCTCTTACAATTTTTTCACCTTTTACCAAGCAGAGGACATTCCTCACTTTCAACCCAAGCAATCTTAACCTTTACTCTGGCACAAGTAGAAAGAGGCGAGCGCAGGACAGACTCGGTAAGAGGAAGAGCTCCCTGTGCCACCGGCGGCATCAAAGGGAGCCCCACTCAAACGCTTTCCAGTGAGTGCAGTGGGAGCAGAATTTGCTGGTTACCGAGCAGCTTAAGAAAAGACAGTAACAAGAGGAAAGGAAGGGCATGAACCTTCATTGCCACCCGACAGCCCCTTTCTGCACTGCACCCTCCTGCTCTGTGCCCACTTAACCCAACCCGAGAGAGACGTCTTTGTGTCCAGGACGGACTTTTCTGAGCCTCTCTGAAGCATGTCCAAGTGGCAGCACCGTCTTCTGCAGCAGCTTCTGTAGGCAGCACAGATGCCTCTTACTGTTAGAAATTCATAGGCCTACCAGCTTGTCACTCCAGAAGATGTCCAGCATTTTCAGCAAGGCTTTTAATTCATTAGCTCACATAGGAAAATATTCTAACCTTCCTGCCCTCCCCAGCTGAGTCATTGATGCTTTCCTATCTTGCCGCAGACACATCACCTTCGGGAAAATAATTGCTTAGCATGCTCATAACAAGACACATTATCTTTCTGAACTGGAAATTTGTTTGAGATCACAGGGTCTTCCCACAATGAGGACTGCAGGACACTTGTTTGAAACAAGTCCTGACTTTCCCTTGCAGACTGTGGGAAACCCTGTATGTCCACTGGGCTGGGCTTCTGGGGAAACTGCGGGAAGGTTGGAGGAAGCTCAGCCAGAAGGAAGGGGCTGAAGGGGTCTGGGAGGGACTGCATGAGCTGTGGTGGGAGGGAGGATGCATGGGAGAATAACCACGCTGGACAGGGAGGGGATGAAGACAGAACTGTTGTAAGAAGTAAAGACAGTACTAAAAAAACCTCTTTAAGCATTTCATTTTCATGTCTAGCCTCTCTACAGAGTCAGTGCACAGTCCAGAGGTCTTTTCAGGGACCTGAGCTACTTGGGGACTTGAGGTTTGCCCAGAGATTCCTTTGGTTACAGAGGAGCAGAAGCTTCTAAGCTTGATGTCTATGACCTGCAACTGTGAACACCTCTTCTTGCTGGTGAGGACATGTTGGGAGGGCACAGGATTGCCCAGTGCAGAGTTAGGTGCACCAAAGCTCACTCCAACCCTTCAGAGACGACCACCACAACGATGGGTTCAACATGAATTTCTAGCAACCATCCACTCGGGGACAAAACACAGCATTCCTACTGCCCCGCCACCAGCAGGCTCAGCAAGTAGTTGAGGGCTTCAGCCCTGACCTCACTTCATGGTGGCTTCTTGGGAAGTCCATGGAGCCTGACTCCTGGGAGGGTGGTGGGCACAGCTCCACAGCGAGGAACTGAAGGCCCCATCTACAGGTGACACTTGTCCCAGGGGCTTCTGTAGACAAGGGCAGGTGGAATTTAACCACAGGTCCAGCCGACCAGTTGGATTCACTCAGAGGCATGTAAGCACCTTATACAGGTACAGCTATTTCTCTTTACCTCTTGAAATAAGCTGCACAAGTATACGGGACAGCAGAGGGTACCCTAGCCCCAGCCTCAGTCTTGGTTCTGTCACCAGAGCTGTTGCATCAGTTCTTGCCTGCTGCTCCAGATGATCCTAATTCAGTTCCCACTGAACTGCCCGCATTGCCTATGCTCTAGGATGGCTGTTACCAGACAGCCTGACTGTGTGGACTAAACACCCTACTAAGACGTATTTCTGACTCTCAGGACCATCTCTCCCTTTCTGTGCCTCAATTTCCTTCTCTGCAACGTGGTGATACCAACATAAACATTTCCTTCTTTAAGATCTTTCAATCAGATGTGCTCTGGAAGTGTTGCAGGTTGTTACTATTTCCAGGGCTATCGTTATAACACATTTTGGCTGCACTAATTCCCTCAAACAGAAATTGTTCTGCCTGTAGTAGGCTGGGACAAAGCAGCCAATTAGTTGTCCCTTACACGTTTATTAACTCTGCAGCTTTCTTTCAATGAGTATGTGGAATCTGGTAATGTTTTAATATATTTTCATAAACTGTGGGCACAACATGTCCTGTTTCAAGCTAATAACCATGCCATATAATTAGTCCTGATTACACAGATATTTAGTATCATTTTACATATTCCAATCCTTTCCTAGTGCCACTGCCTAGCCAAGGCATATTTAAAGCCACAGCCATCTCCCTTCTGCTTCCCAGCAGTTTGCAAGATTTTGTTTTCGACAGGTTTGCAGTTAATATGACAGCTTCAAAGAACAATTTCATTTCACTGATATACATTTTATATATATACAAGCTCTGATCAGATGTCAGGTGACAAAGCCCAGGTTACAAATAGAAGGCATTTATCTACTTTTACAGTGAAAAGCCGGTATTTGAAAGCTGTCAAGAAATTAACAACATGAATCTTTAAAAATCTATTTCTTAAACATCTGTTGGCTTAGGAGTGAACATTTACTGTATTTAGGATTTTACTGTGAGGTAGCACTCCCCGAACAAAAGATCCCTCACCCCATTAGACTCTGGTCGGGGAGCAAGAAAAATTTGCTCTGTGCAACCCGATTATAGATGTGTATCTTTCCCTGCTGGCGTGGCTGTCTCTATAGAGATGGACATGGATATTTGATGAGATTAAAATGCTTCAGTTACCACTGTCAGTGGTTCTTTAATTTAAAATGAAGAAAGCAAACAAACATTCCTTTTGATGAGGTAACTGAATGATGCTACGGAAAAGCACTTTGCTGTCAGGTGGTAATTAGGTTCAGTAATAGTTGTGGGTTTTTAGCCTTGGAGGCTGTGGCCCTTGGGAGTCTGAGAGAAATGATACATTCAATTTCCGGAGGAGAGGAAGATGCTGGATGCTTTTCTCTGCTAACCCTGCAGGTCTCTGCAGATAAGAGCATTCAGAACTGCAGCGCTGACAATCCTCCCTGTGCCAGCCTAAACTGTTGTGTCAAGATCACGAACAGAGAAAGAGAGATGGACTCAAAGCTGGGCATTTAAACATCTAACGTAGTCAGGCTGGCTCTGACCACATATATAAGGAACTGCCAGAATGGCTGCACTGAGAGGATTTTTAAAGGCTGCAGAAAGAACTCCAGCAATTGCTCTATGGTCTGCGCTGATATTTGTAACATCCATCTTGCGCATCACTAGAAAATCTTCAGTAGGAAAGTGTTCCTCTGCAAACAGGGGAGAAGAAGGGAGTGAATGTCAAGGCTCAGCTGCCTCCCTCGCCAATTGGGAATTAGCTTTTCCACTGCAAAATATAAATTATATTTGGTTGTGCTATTAAGAGTTGAAACCCAAATGAAGCATTCCAATTGGCCCAAAGGCATTTAATTAGAAACTTTTAGTTTGGAGGCATTATTGCTGTTTTCTCAGAGCAGAGGCAAATTCTGAATACGGTGTTTCCCATGAAACAGGAGCTCTGGTTCCTGCTCTGCTCCCCTCCTCATGTTATTACACAATGAATTACACGGTTCTCCACAAATGCTTCAGTGGTATCTTCCCTGCTCCTCACACAAGCTAAGAGACACTGAAAGGACACCAGCTGGCCGACACCAGACAGAAGGCCAGCAGCACTGCAGGGATTCAAGCTTGGGCATTTCAAACCCTCTGTTCGCACCTTTGTGCATTGCTCACCAGTGCTTTACTTCATGTCCAAGAAGACTTCCTTTTGGACAAACATCCAGTGAACTGGTTGTAAAGCTGGAGTAAGGACTTATGGTGAGACGGGGTCCCCAGTTAAAGGGTCCCAGCTGGACTGGCAGAAGGAACCTGCCATCTGGCTGCCAGCACTGCAGCAGGTCCAAGGGGAGATGGAGAACCCTGCCTTTAGCACAGGCTTGCCAGTAGTTTCCTGAAGCACTGAAGAAGTTTTCACTTCCAGAATTAAAACTTTTCAAATAAAGTGAGTCTGATTCCCCTCTCACTCTCAGTAGATAAATGAAGGGTAAGTCCATTAAAGATACTGGTGTGAGATTGGTGTACAGCAGACAAAATTCAGGAAAGATATCGATATCTCCAAAATCCTCTGAATATTTTTTCAGACATAAACCAGGTATCTTTCCTGATCATAAATGCTTTATTTCCGAATGGAATTTCAATAAAATAAGCACAGTTAGACTAGCACGCTTATTATAAAGCCATAATGCAGTAGCACTGAAGTTTAGTCATGAAAGGTATTAAAAAAGCAGCCCTGCTAAAGCAAGAGAAATTGCTTTCTGACCTACCGAGTTTTAGGAGTGGGTGCTAGTGGTCTCTCCACCGAGGAGTTCAGCCTGTAGTAATCCAAGAATGTCCTGGCCACATTTCTTCCAAGCTTCATATCTGTGAGTTTTTAATTAAGGACCATTTTTTTATATATAATTAAAAATAATAATAATAAAAAAGCAGAGTCTAAAGGTAAATTACTGCTATTTGATGCATGAGCAAGTTTTACATTAACCATCCCACAGTGCTTAGGCTTCAGGCAAAATGACTTACGCAAGCAGATAAAGCGGGGGTCATCTTGTTTGCTTCTTGTTTTCACAGGCAGGTGCTGCATAAAACCACGGACAGGAGGAAACAATCTCCCTTTACCCCCATGCCTGGTTGCAGATCCCTGCGGTGGTTGTGAAGTAATACACCAGACAAAAGGGGCCTTCCAATTTCCATGTTTAGGGAAAATAATGACCTAAAAATGCTTGAATACAGGCAGTATTTCTGTGCTTGTATCCAGGAAACGAGGTCAACAATGTCATGGTATGAACCAGCCATGGACTAGTGTACAAACTCAAGGTTGGGATTACAGCTGTAGCCCTCCAAACCTTTAGCACTGACCCCCCCCACGGTCCTCGGAGAATATACTGTTCTTTAACTGTGTTGTATTCAAGACCTGAAATGGTGTTTTTAGCACTGAACTGGAAGGACAGTAGCTTACCCTGGGGAGGTCAGCAGTAACTCTGGGGGCTCTTCTCACTAGCCACGATTCCTCCTTCAGCCAACCCTGAGCCCAACACTAGGCAGGTGCTGCACATCAGAGCTGCCACAGAGACATTATGGGGGCTGAGGACTCCTTTGTTTGCCTATTTTGAACTGATGCCTACCCACGCTACAATAACCACATACTTCTCCCGGGCACTGCCCCAAATGGCCACCGTAATGGTCATTTCAGGAGTGCTGATGCAGTAGCTGGGGTGGGTATGTAACCTGGGGAATCTAAATACACCTCCGTCCAGCACTCAGCAGCCCAGGAAAATAAACCGTTGCTGGGCTGTTTTGTGTGCATGCATGTTCTGCTTTATCAATAGTTATCTGCTGATGTTTCCATTAGAGGAAAATTCCAGAAGTGCAGTGTCCCAGGGGTTTCCAGCAGCGCCTGTGAAGACGCTAGCTTCTAAATGAAGCTTTTATTACCCGCCCACTTACATTAGACACATCAAAACAAGTGAGCATGAGACATCAGGTTCAGGCATCACTGTGAGATCTCTCTTTATAATTTATTTATTTATTTAAAGGGGAGGTCGAACTAATGTGACTCAGTCTTTAGCTCTAGTTCTGCAAAAAGCCAGCCCCCAGCTCTGCTAGTGCTGCAGTCAAGCCCAGTTCTAGTAGCTGAGGATGACTCCTGACACTGCTTTTCTCTCCAGTGACCTGGTCCCACTTTTCTGGTTCCCGCTGCTGTGCCTGGGGATGGTTACATGGATCTATCCCTTCTGTTTCAGGGTCTATGCTCATTGCGATCCTAATACCGTACGTGCTGCGGGCACCCGTATTCTTCTGCCCAACAGTACAGCCCAGCCTGAACAGCTGGTGTTCACGGCTGTTGTCTGCGTGGACAGGGATAGTTGGTTGTGTGAAACAACACCGGCTGTTTCACGGCTGCTGCAGTACCCAGTAAGCTGCACTGCAGCCTGCCAGCACCGACAGACGAGACTAACCGTACATGCGTGAAAGTTCAGAAAGTTGGAGACAGCTTAAAGTTTATCAATTTGAGGGAGGGCAGCGTTGCTTTGAAAGTGTTTTGTGATTGTTACTGGAATTTGGGGATGGCTGTGGGTAGTTTGGTTTCTGCAGATGTGAACTCAAAGCAGCAGCAAAGGTTAAGAGTTCAAAGTAGTCTGAGGAAGCGAGAAAGAAGGGAAGAGGGCTGTCAAACATTTAAGGGATTGAGAAGACTAACATGGCTTGATCTTGTAGTTTCTTTCATTTACTTGGCACTTTAAAGGCATAAAGTGGTAATTGGACTCGGTAAAGTCTCTAGGACATTTTCTCAGTACCAATCTCAGAAGGCTCCTCTGCCAGCAATGGCCCTGCTGCCCTTTTCTTTGTTTCTTTACATTGCTTGTGTTTGCACAGTGGGAAACACCTGACCTGCTGTCCTGAGGGAGGAAGCCCTTAGATGAGAGTGGGTGCAGCCGAGGAAGTGGTTACAGGAGCTCCTACATGGTGCCTTACAACTCTGCCTTAACCCTGACCTGGAGGAATCCAGTTCTATTGCTGAACTTAGGAACAGCTTTCTAAAGGTAAAGACAGTTAACCACTGGAATAACCTGCCTTAGCACCTCTGGAAATCTCCAGACCAGAGCTATTCAACAGCAGGTTAAACCCACAGCAGACATGAATGCTTTAGGTCTAACTGGTCCTGCACAAAGTTCAGAAAAGGAAATACAGAAAGGCCTCTAAGGCCACTTCACCCCATTTTTCTACAATGCTTAACATGCTTTGCAGCCCACGCAGACCGCCTGTTTGCTACAATTACCAGACAAGGTAAAGGCTTTTTGTGGAGCATGGACACACAGGTAGACAGACACCGAAGAAACTGGAAATGCAAACCTGTGCCCCGTGCAGCCACCAAAAAGTCACAAAACGGGAACAACTTGCAGTCAGCATTGACGGAAAGAGACTCGAACCAGCATGGGATAAAAAATTTGCATGTTCTAATACTAGTCTCTCAAGCCATCCTACCACCTCTCAGAAACAGCAGTAACAGCCTCTCCCTGTGACTGCCTAGCCTGGACAAGAAATGGCCTGACTCATTCAGCAAGTGCAGGAGGCACGTGTGTGCAGAACCAATGGAGAAAAGCAAATCAAATCAATAACATTTGCATTTATTTCAGGTGGACGGAAGATCCAGACTCCACTTTGGCCTACCGTATATCATAAGCACATAAATAACTGCTACTACAACCAGAACCCACTTTTGCTGAGTGGTTGGTTGGTTTGTTTTTTAACCAGCTTCCTTTCTGCAATCACACATGCTGTGCTTTTGCCCACAGGAACTCCCGACCTAGCTTGAACTGTGCTTGATAGAAGGCCATTTCCCAGCTATTCCCATCACGGGAGCTCAGCTCATACAAGATAGTAGAAATCCATTTGGGTGGGTCAAGGTGAAAACATCTAGGTGAATCTTCACTTTCACGAGTGTCTGCAAGTCCCTTTCCTCTCCCTTCCTCCTCCAGAGACTCATTCTTCCATGCTCCATATTTCTACCTGGAAGTGAAAACCAGAGTGCCCAAGGCCCCTCCTGCAGACACTGTCCTCACAGCACTCAGTCTTTGAATGGCATCAGTGGTTTTGGGGACATTTCAGGACAGTCTGTTTACGTACAGCTCTGCCAAATTTCACAGATGTTAGGAAGTTCAAGAATCGTGCCGGGCTCTCTGCAAAATCCCCCGTATTTATGAACCCTATCATGCCTCACCCCCCAAAGCTTCCAGCCCTGGTAAGAAAAGAGGACAGAGGAGTGGGGAATCTCATAAGCCATTACTAGTTTTCAAGTGAGAAGATTCATTGCTCCTATTGTGAACAGTCTGCTTAAGCTGGAGCCTCTAGAAGCACAGACACAGCCTTGTTCTGTCTGTGCATGAAGGCAATAAAAATCTCAATTTGGAAACCAGTTAGCAGTACAAGTCATTAGGGGAGGTACTAAATGTTGCTGCTTTAATAGCTCACTGATCATTTAATAATGTCACTGCTGCAGAGCATGGTGGCACCATTCGCTCGCTTTTGTTTTGCTTTTTGAAATTCAGGGTCATTCCACTTTCAAGTGTGTGGATTTTCTTTCTTTCCCCCTTTTGCCAGACACTGCAAACTGCTTTAAATAATTAGAAAAAGGATGGCTCCTTCAAGTTCACCGTCTCATTTTCATAAGGTCCAGTGTCATTGCTTTGGAACAGGAAGAGAAACCGTGGTGGTGGTAAGGATTTGACAAGGGCAAAACAGTTAGCAGCCCCCACTCATCTTTGATAAGTCCTGTGGGGTCTCTGCCAAGCAGATTGGATCTCTGTTTTTATGTCTCATCTAGAGGACGGCACCTCCATCAATTTGAAACACTGCGCTGGGTTATTAGCTTATGGAATTCGTCCAAGTTCAGTCCTAAACAGGATTTGAAATCGTGACCATTCAATCTAGAGGCACCACTGACCAGACCCATGCAAGTCTTTTGTTTCAGACAAACAGCTTTAAGTTATCCTAAAGACAGACAGAGGGGAAGAAAAAAAATAGGGAAGGGAGAAAGAGGGGAAGGAAAATGAGACACAAAGAGAAAGATGAATCTTTTTAATAGCTCAAATTAAAAAACAGAAGAAGCTCTTTGTTTGACAAAACTGAATTCTACAGCAAATCTCAGTCTACCACAACAATGATCCTGTTATTTATGAAAAGAGGGTTATTTTGTGTGGGAGAGTCCCAGATGACTGTGGTCAGCTCGCGTACTGTCAGCTTCGTACAATCTCAAGAGAAATATGAATGAGGTTTTCTCATCTAACAGCTTCCATCAATGGATCAAACCCCTTCCTGACTCGAACAAGAGCTCTAATGGAAAATGGCATTACACGGCTTTAAACCACTGTGTTGTATCACGCCTGGCCTGATCAGAACTAGTCCTCTATTTTAGCAGAGCTGTTTTCAGCAGTTACTTGTTTTGTTTCACAGGGCTGACACTATTCTCTAATAAATCAGAGATGCTGCCCACATCATGTCTAATTGGGGGGCCCACTTCAAGCGAAGTGTAATTGGGGCAATATAGAGACTTGGGGGGGGGGGCTATTCTGTGGCTTTTCACCAGCATTTAACAAAGTACAAGTCTGGGTGCTGATGATGCATCCTTCCCAGAGACTGTCACTCCAGGGAAACAAGGTTCACAATGTCTAGTATATCTGGTTACATATTTCAAAATCATTATCAAAGGAGGAAGCTTCTAAAAGGGAGTGTGGGGAGGGGATAGGACTTACCCCGTCCTCACTACTGACTTTCAAGAGAGCAGGACCTGGCCAGGCAAGCACTAAATCTTCAAGTTGTTAGTTTTGCAGGGCTGTGAGGTGCGTGTAGGCACGCTTTCTGGGGAG